ATCCAGCTTGACCATCATAGCAACAGTATCCAAGGGTCTTCTCATCTCTCTCTCATCAGCTTCTCGCCTCAGTCTCTCTCATCAGTCTCTCTCATCGGTCTCTCTCATCGGTCTCTCTCATCAGTCTCTCTCCTCAGTCTCTCTCATCAGTCTCTCTCCTCAGTCTCTCTCCTCAGTCTCTCTCCTCAGTCTCTCTCCTCAGTCTCTCTCATCAGTCTCTCTCCTCAGTCTCTCTCATCAGTCTCTCTCATCAGTCTCTCTCATCAGTCTCTCTCATCAGTCTCTCTCCTCAGTCTCTCTCCTCAGTCTCTCTCCTCAGTCTCTCTCATCAGTCTCTCTCCTCAGTCTCTCTCATCAGTCTCTCTCATCGGTCTCTCTCCTCAGTCTCTCTCATCAGTCTCTCTCCTCAGTCTCTCTCCTCAGTCTCTCTCCTCAGTCTCTCTCATCAGTCTCTCTCATCAGTCTCTCTCATCAGTCTCTCTCATCAGTCTCTCTCATCAGTCTCTCTCATCAGTCTCTCTCCTCAGTCTCTCTCATCAGTCTCTCTCCTCAGTCTCTCTCATCAGTCTCTCTCATCAGTCTCTCTTCTCAGTTTCCCTCGGCAAGAGAGGACGATTTCTCTGCGTGTGATGACCAATGTCCAGTTTGCTTTGCTTCAGGTCCGCAGCGGGGTCGGGGCCGTGGTCAGCGCAATGACCACTTCCGCCAGCGACCGCCCAACACCAGCCGGCCACCGTCCATGCACGTCGATGATTTTGTCATCATAGAGAAGTCGCAGTCAGGGGTCAACCGACCGGGGGCCATGAAGATGGTGAGTACGGGGCAATTCACAGCCCGAAATCTTGCCTCTTATAGTCACGCCTCTTAGTATAGCATCTTATTGAATTTGTTATGTTAGATATTCACGAAGATAGAACAATTAATGATACAATAATAATAGAACAATTAATGAATATTTAGTAGGTCTCAGGGGAAAGATAGTGAATATAGAAATGAGTTTAATTTTTGAATTTTTTCATAATTTATGAATATTTAAAATCCCGCGGTGGCCATCTCGGCTTTCCCATTGTTACAGGCGTTATGGGAACAAATTCAGCTTGGCACTATATCTGAAATTATTTCGTATACCCTTAACATCATATATGCCAATTTTGGTGCTTTTACCACAAAACCCACAACTCTTGCACATATGCTGCCTCACTATAACACACTCAACAATAAACAATGTTGTACACAGTAATACACTGCTCTTGCTACCCCATCCAGTTTGGCTTCGTGCCCACCCTCTATATGTAGCATGCATGTATCACTTTCTGTTCTACAATTGTTGTTAAAACGTAAGCTTATTACCATTGTAGAAGACCATTCTTTGAAGGAAGTGTTTGTATTGGTGCTCTTCCGAACTTGTCATGGTCCCCCTAAATTTTCTCAGTCAACCAAAGGCAATGCTTGCGTGAGGATTTTGTTTTCATGGTGTGAATAAATAATCATGGCAGGCATCTATCGTTGCTCAGTGCAATAAGAGAGACATAACTGTTAGTGGAGATACTTGTATCTACCTCACCCCCCAAACTGCATGCAGCGCCCCTTTCGTACAACTCAGGATACGAGTGAATTGAGCCAGAGCGAGAGCGCCATCTGTCGTGGAGTTTGCTCACCCCCTACGATCCCTGTAGCAACCCCTGGTGACACCTGGTGGTGGCTGCACATAACTAATGCTTGTGTTTTGTTTCAGGACTCGTCTGCACTGAGAGGGCGCGGCCGCAGTAGCTATGGCGATGAGAGGCGGGGCGGCCGCGGACGCTTCTTCACCCCGCCGGGAAACTACTCGCGCCGGGAGGGCTCCAGGGGAGGAGGGGGAGGAGGCGGAGGGGGAGG